CCGCATCCGGGTAAAGATTGATAAACGGTGAAGACTTAATCCCTTATCGCTCGAGGTATGCTCGAATATACCAAAATATCGGAAATATGGTGAATAATAGGGAAAAACGGTAGCATCAATTGCAAATGGGCTTGTGCTTATTGTATTCGCATTGTTTCGTCTTGCGTAGCTGGTATGGAGTTTTCAGCTCTCACCATGAGCTTTCAATTTTTAGATTCATTAAGGACAAGTTTTTCTTTTTTGTTGGTAAAGGTTTTCGTAACCATTTGAAAGGCTTTGTCGTTTGGCCACACTATGTAAAAGGGAACGAAGGAGTACGAGAAGAAAAAAAATTCCCCCGGGGACGTTCCGTTGAATTATTTCTGCAGCTGATCTATTTCATTCAAGGAGAAGCTCAAAGAAGAGCAGCAGAAGAACGCCAGCGTGAGCGCCAGCAGATGCGTGAACGAGTTGATGAGGATTTAGAGGCATGTGAAGCTGAAGTAAGTCCTGCGCTCATGTAATATCATTCATTTATTTCAGAAAGATTTAGAAATAGGTCCGTTTTTGCAATGTTGAGGTGAAGGTATGAAGGAAGAAGTAATTTCTCGTCATTTGCATATGAAAGTTTCCACAGTCCTATATAAATTTGGTTCTAATCATTTTATATTCCACAACTTTTTACTGCAAGATCTGGTACAAGTGGGCCCTTTTCTGTAAGCTCGTGAATGCCTAGGGAAAACCAAATTGCTCCTTCCCGCCTCAGTGTTGAGTCGACTCATTTTGTAGGCAGTTTCAGTTTCTACCTAGTTTGTTATAGTATGGTTTTTTTGTCCCCGAACGCCTTGGTGTATAAATGCCGCTCTCCTAGAATGTAGGTTAGATCTGTATGCAGATAAATCTCGCAAACTAATTTGACGGGTTTTACAAATTGGGGGTCAAACATGCAATCTAAAGGCACAACTTTCACAGCTAGAACGAGTGAAGGCTCGCCGTGATGAACTAGCAGCAGAAAAACACGAATGCTTCACAAAACTCATAGCTTGCCTTCAACGAGAGTCGATGCAGAAGAAAGCGGAAGATGAGCGCAAACGGAGGGTAAGTTTTCTCATTGGAGGATATTTTCCAAATCTTCACGCTACCAGTTTCTGAATTCATCTTTCGCGTTTCAGGAGTTACTCACGCTTCAAATACAACAACCGTTTTTGGCCGCAACAATTCAAGCTCAAGCGCAGGCCCAAGCGCAAGCACAAGCAAACAGCCTGATCTCAAACCAGCACCTGCTTACGCAACAAAATCTTCTATCGCAGCATTTCTCTGCGCAGAATCTCTTGAACCAGCAGGCATTGCTTCAACACCAACAGCTACTGGCAGCGCAAAAGTTCCAAGAGCTTGCTCAAGCTCACGCACTCTTGTTCAGCAGCAACAAAATGCTGCCCAAGTTACTGCGCAGCAAGCATTACCGGCGGGAATATCACCAGCTTACCTACAGCAAGCACTCGGTCAAGTACAGGTACCAGTTTATTAATTTTCCTGGAATCTTTTGTTCGAAACGTTTCAATCTAGGGATTGCTACCCGGAGCTGCTGCATCAGTGCCTGGTTTCACTGCTGCTGCGCCGGTGACTAGGTGGGTTACGCTGTTCATCGGTCTTTCTTGTACATTCTTGCACATTTTCTGCAGCCTCGTTGTTTCTTTCGGGCATTATTTGGTTCCCTTGTTTCCAGTTTTTTCACGAAGAGAGACTTCACTGTAGTTAAGATTTCTTTTTTTTTTACAAAGACGGACATCACTGTAGTTAAGAGCAGTACAGATGTAGACAGGCGTTTAGCGCTAGGCCGATGTTTGCGTCTCTCGGCCACGGACTGCGATGACCGGAAGAAGGTCGAAGGTGGAGGCCCGACTTATGGGTGTGCAAACAACACCCAAACGGGTCTTATGGCTCGTCCGGTTTACGCATAAAGTACCTTGAACTTGCATCATATATGTCGTCGTTCCATTCGTGCAGATTTCATTGGAAGCTTCTGGCTCCCGTTCATGGCATGTTCACGTGTCATGCCTTTTTTTTCTGTTTTTGTTTACTATTGCAATTAGTATAATCAATACAACTGCAGAAGTACAAGTTCGAAATAAATTACCTAAAAAATCCCATAGATAAGAGCGGTCCATAGATAAGGGCGGTTTGTGCTAGTTGTTGTGATATAAAATTTTAAAAATGTTTATTTAAAATCATTTTTTACCGGTAAATAACACCGCTCTTATCTATGGAATTTTACTGATCGAATGGGCTCTTCAAGTTCTATCCAGAAATCAGATTCCGGCATTTCTAGAGAGATTCCGGCAGAAATTCCGTTAAAATCGCTATTTTTCTATATGAATTGTTTATTAAGTGGGCGGGGTTAGATCGTTTGGCTTGAGGGGAGGCGGAGCTTCTTCTAAACTTCTCCTTCCGATTTTATTTATCCATCCACATCAAGTTAGAGGGGTGACTGCATTCAATTTCAATTTCATTCCAATTCATTTTTCACCGGGTAAAATCAAAACCGCTCCTTACTCTATCGGCGATTTTCTTTTTTCCTTAGGGTACATAAAAAAATGCCCTAAGGAGTATAGAAAACGGTAGGGAACTAATTCAGCTGACGGACTCACCTACGCGGTACAACACCTTATCAGCGGAAAACCAGAAGCGGGAGCAGCATTCGACAACAGTTGGTGATGGTACGAAATTGATCTCATAGATTGCCAAAGAGCGGCGAATAATAGCATAAGGCGAATGGGGGAGGACGATGATGGCTAAATGGGGGCCAAGGTAAGAAGATAAGCGGGGCACATGCTTCACCAGCAATGCCACGACTTTGTGGAGCCTGTGGATACAATTCTCTTATTCACTACGATTAATTTCTTCTAGTCGGATATTATGCCGGACTTCCACACTATCCACGTTCTAGCTATCCCTTACTGCAATCAAGTTTTTTCTGTAGGCATAAAATACTTATCTTGCACTTCATCCTATAATCCTCACTTTGATGATATAACATGCTACGTTTCTTCGCTTGCTTGTTTGTTTATTGTCTCAGGAAAGATCGGCTTACTTGCACGAGCCAACCGGACGACGGTCGCTTCTGCAAGGTTGTGATGGGTTGGGTTTAAACAACATGTGAAGAGCATTCGTGAGCTATGCTAAGCCCTGCCCGTATTGCGCGACACGTGCGCTGGAAGTTATTGGTATCGCTGGTGAAGTCATAGTTTGGTTCCAGGGCAACCCAGGGATGGGGAAAAAGTGGATCAAGGCCTATAAGGGGTGGACAAACTATCGAGAGAGACACCCCGAAAGGTTTGGGCCGTGCAGCTGGGCGCTGCTTCCCGCAAAATTCCTTAACTCGGTTCTCAGGAGGGTTTAGAGGTTGGAAGAAAGTCGATGGGGAAAAGAGGCAGCTGGCGAGAGTTGTGCAAGTCCGTGGTGTGTTGAGACACTCCTCCAGTGGGTGGAGCGTGCCCTCAAGCGTGAGATACTTATTTCAAAATTGTGGTTCGGTTCAGAGTACTCCAGAGACCGGGAGAAGTTAAACAAAGGCAAGCAAGGGGTCAGCTGTTAAGAATGGGGGACCAACCCGTTGTGAGCGGGCCTACGCTGAGGTGATCGCGTCAAGCTTTAAAAATCGTAAGACGGCTTCGGCAAACCGACTGGTAATTGGTAATTTGCTAACTTCTAAGTCCCAAAAAGTTTTCAAGAAATAGATTAAACTTTTGTTGCGACCGTACGTGATTTAGCGTTGTTCGAGTTACGTCCAAAAGGGAACTGTAATCTTGCCATTAGAGACAATCAAATTCAGCACGTTTTGTTCAACAAAATGTGCTCAAAGATATTCGTTTTAGGGGCACGCCACCTGTTGGAAACCATTTGGTGTTCGGTCAATTTGCTGTCGAACCACCAAAACCACAAGTACAGCCGAGCAGCTCTCAGGCGCAGCCAGGTCTTGTAAAACCGGAAGCGCCTAGTCCTCAGGTTTCGCCAGCACCTCAAACTCTCACACAGCAATCATTCGGCTTGCAAAACCTTCCTGCATGTAAGTTATTTTTTTCCTATTTCCGAGTTCTTTTGTGGGATATTGCTTGGAAGCATATGATACGAATACAATTTCAGCGTTTCTCTCGAACTCGAATTCGTTCTTTACACGTGCCCTTGCTAACTATCGGCAGGAGTATCCCAAGCATTTGACTGATACCAACAACGGATGACAATCTATGTCTTGATGTCGTTCGAAGTGAGAGCACTCTCACCCAACCAGGGTCGCTCAACGTTCCTCTGAGGTAGTCACATAGCCTGTGATCGAAGCGAAGTTCCGGAATGTTCTGTCAACACATCTTCCGAGCATTGGAGCGTGCCCCTTAATTGTTTTGTATGTGAAGGTATTCGGTCGTTGTTGTGTTTGGCCTTGCTGCATGCTGCTTACGCTTTTTGCACCTGCATGATAGTTCTTCGAATGGTACTAGAAGATGTTTTTCGTCCACAGTTTCCACACACCGCTAACATTGTTTCTTGAGAATCTCTGTTGATTACATGTCTCACAAAATTCGATGATGATACTTATTAGCTTGCATGCGAACTAATTTTTAACCCGAGATAATTCGCAACTATTTGTCATACGTCATATTTATGGGTACATGGTTATTTCATTCTTGAGCAGACACTCGTTTCGAAGGAGACTTAAATTTCGCCGGGAGGTTTTCATCATCACTACGGGTGCGATTCGTTGCCAGAACATTTTATACACAGCTGTTTCACACGAGAAGTCTCCCCCTTTTCGCAGTTGTCCACCGCCGATGTTGATTGAATTTAGAGATTCAACAGTTTGAACAAATTTTTCATGGCATTTGTACTTACTCGAGAACGATATCGGTTTTGTTGATAAGTTTGATGTTGTCATTTTGGTAGTATAACTCACCTTTAATACTGTCGTCTTGTTAGCTTCTGAAGAATAATTTGTCGTAGAAGTTCTCACTTTTCTCTTTCTCACTGTCGCGATGAAGCTTCGCCAGTTATCTTTGAATAGGATAATTCGATTCACAATGTTTCCGATAAATGTTTATTTCTACATGTTCTCTCGATGTCCGTGCATACGGTTGTCTGACCGCACGTACTTGTTAGAGGGTAAGAGAGAAGGCAAGTGAAGTCTTTTTGGGCGACATTGCTGTTGTCTGTCTGTGGTGCTTAGCGAGACAAGAATCAATTTCGCCTTTCCTCTTGTGGGGAAGTTTTTCGGAAATGTGTCGAAGTTAACAAACCCAATTTGTCCAGGATTTCTTGAAGCTCTTGGAGCCTGCTGTTTCTGCGTCCAAATTGCTTGCTATCAGTATTGTTATCAAGGCAGGATTCTGCGGATGTCGTCTCTGAGCCATTCTATTATTATGTCGGTTGCGGAAGGCGCGTAATTATAAGAAGGACTAATATATTCTGATTAACATACTTTTGTTTGTTGCAAGTGAGTTTTTATTTTCGAGTTTTCATGTTTCTTTCGAACTTGAAAAAGTATAAAATCCTCGTCACTGGTGCGAAATCAAGGTAAGGAGCCCGCTATGTCGTCACCAGGCGCAGACGACGTCTGTCCGATATGCTTGTGTCCGATTGATGAGGAGTTTTCGCGGCCGGAGAATTGCCAGCATCGCTTCGATTCGGATTGCTTGAAGGAGTGGTCAAAGGTTCGTTTTATAATTCGTTCATATAAGGGGTTAATAGTCGTTAAAGGCAGTGGGCATGATAAGTAGTTTCTCTGCAGTAAGCAGGAATAGTGGAACTGAATAGTACTAGAGCTAAGCAAAAAGGGTACGAAACAGTCGAAAACACCCCAAATACAACCCTCATCAACCGCTTCCCACTTTTGCCATCTCCTCTCAGACGTGTGTCACTGTGACGTCGATTTTTACGAAATCTACCTTTAACACTGTTTGAAATAAGGTGTAGTATTTTCGAAAAACGTACTGCTTTTTCGATTTGGAGTTGCTTAATGAGTCCTTGTAGTTGTTTCCATCTAACAAAAGAATTAAAGTTACGGCTGAGCTGTCCATCATGCCGGGCCACCTTTGGAGCAGTCTACACTTACAAAATAGTGGAGGGCAAACCAACACTACACAAAGTGCAAAAAATGGAGGAACCTGCAGAAGCTGAGGTTGAGTCCTACAATTTTTGATCATCAATTGGATTAATTGTCTAGCATCTGATCCTACTAATTTTACGCGTTTTTTAGCCATTCGATGAAACGAATCCACTTGATTTTACCGTATGTGAAATTTGCTCTGGCGGAATGCACGAGGAACTTCTCTTAATATGCGACCAGTGTGACAAGGGGTCCGTGATTTTTTTCTCATGTAACTGGATTAGCTCTGTATTTGTTTGCTTGGAATTTCTAAAAAGCCTCAATTTCGCGGGTACTTATTGACTCACTTTGGTCTCGCCCAAGCTTTTCGATCTCCCTGCGTCCATGCTCACAAGGGAACGTCTTCAAAGTACCTAGAACCGGGAACAGAGACCAAGGCATTCCAATAGAGCTAGGAATGCTGGTTGTAATTATGGGAGTGAAACATGCCGCCTTGAATCCTAAAACGAGTTACGAGCAGTCAAAGCACGGAATTCGTGGGAAGCTTGTGAGATGTCTGCCTGAAGAGGTATTCGTGATCAGGGCATTTCTTACCGCTGGGGAAAATTTTTGGAAAATACAACCTCTCCCTTCCCCTACTCCATCCTACCTACCACTTTCCTAGTTTTTTTTTCACCCAGCTTCCTACCACAATTTCCAAAATTTCCCGAAAACCCTCTAATTTTTCCCCAGAATTGTGCTGCCGACTAGAGGAGGGAGGAGGGAGGAGGGGGAGTCGTCATCAACCAAACAACTACTGTTTTCATCTAACGAAAAAATAGCTGTATAGGAATTCTGAAACGCTACAATTAGAGGGAGGGTCCTCCGTAGAATTCTCCGAACAATGTGAATAACGCCCAGAAACAAGAAAATTCAACTATCGAAAAAGTTATCGCTTCGTTTTCATCGGCGTGCTATTTTCGTGATCAGCGAGTCAGATTACACCTGGAGACAAATTTCTAGCCAAATCGCTTCTATTTTTGTCTCGGGAAAGTTGACTGACTTTGTGGAAATGGGTCCTATCGTGAAGTAAAAAGACTTTTGGGTCGTTTTTAGCGAAAACTCTCCCGTCGCCGGGAAGTGCTTCTTCCCAAAGACTCTGTCCTAGCTCAACCAAGCATTCCTTGTCAGGATTAGATTGTATCAGGCTTGTCAAGAAGGGCAAAAATCTGTCTTGTACACTGGCAAACCCCTCGAATAGTTGTATTGGGCGCATCGCATTCAACATGCGTTACAATTTTGAACGCAGTTATTACGCATGGCGCATCCCAAGAAAGGGTTGGTCACTGGCAAAAACTTTATCTTTACCTCTTTCCTCGATGAATATTATTTTTTAAGTATTATTTTCACTTACAGATTTCATACCTACTGCCTCACTCCTCCACTGGATGGTGTTCCAACCACTGAGCAATGGTTTTGTCCTCAGTGTGAGGAATCCCGCGTAAATCGGCCATCGACGAGTCGCACAGCTGAATCGTCAGCAAGAGCCATTCGCCTCGTACAAAGGACCGCGCTTGCAGAGCGAGTTCGTCGAAGGTTAGCTCGCAACCGGCGCATGTGGGTTTTCTTATCATTCACGCCTACCGCTTATACATGGGCATCGGGTCTTCGTTTTCCTTTCTCCCATTTATGAAATGATGTTTTTCTTTACATTTACTACAGTTGCTGTAGTTTTGTGATGTGAACTGGTACCGGTTAAGAGTGGAGACATCCAGAAGTGCTACAGAAGAAGAGGAATCCGATGGCAACGATGAGGAAGAAGAAGAAGAAGAAGAAGAAGAAGAAGAAGAAGGAAGAAGAAGAAGAAGAAGAAGAAGAAAACTCTGCTGCATCAAGTGAGGTATGTATGTCAGCGTATATTCTCAGTTATAAGGCAGGTGACTGAAGTTGCTGAATACTTACTTCGAATCTCAGGTGGCTTCTGCTAAATAGCTGATCAGCTTGAGCATGTATACAGGGAAGAATATTGGCATGGAAAAACAGCCAAAATATAGTCGTTTTCGCTGCTGACGTTGGGGTGTGTCAAAGGACTGGGTTTGGCGTGGCGCCAGAACTTTTCCACCTACTCTTGTCGCTTGCCCGCCTTACCAGTTGGTGGAGGACGATCTGGAGCCGCGCCAAATCCAGCCCCCTAGCACGCCCCGGCTGTACAGTGGAAACAGCTATATCCTCCCATAGGCTCCATCTACTTTATGTGAGCATCAACATGAGCTCCCACTTTTCAACAAGATAACACCAACTAAGCCTGGAAGCGCTCTAGCTTCGAGCGGCAATCCAAATGCATTGCTGGTTTAATTTCCATATGGTCTTGTAATATAGACTGCTTATAACTCTTTATTTTATTGCTCTTAATACTCGTGCCTGGTGGGATTCCTATGCGAGTCTCCAGTGAACATTGCATAGGAACTCTATGAACTTAATGCAACCTTATAGACCTCGCAAAACGCAAAATAAATATGTATATTGTGCAAATTTCATTACTGTATCGCTTCTGTATCGTCTCAGCATTGAATTTCTAGGAGGAGGTGAAAGACTTCTTTGATGATGATTTTCGAGTACTAAGTGAAATTGGACAGGATGTTCTGTACAGAGCAACTCCATTGCCTAGGTACGTACGTTCCTTGTTTGGGTGTTATATAGTTCATTTGTGCAGAAACTTGGTGCTGAGCCTTGTTCTCGTTTCAGTATAAAAAGAAGATCAAAAAAGCAACGAACCGCTTCTAAAAAGAAAACCAGATCAAAGAAGAAGAAGAAGATCACCAAGAGAAGTACCAAAGGGAAGCGTAGGAAAATCAAGGTTTACGGCATTATCTCGTCTATTATTATTTGAAGATTCGACTTTTTGCTGAAACTTTGCCAATACGGCTTATCCTCTGCCCCTTTTCACGATTATGACATCGTTTTTGGTGGTGGCGCCATACAGCACCATTAGGCGACAGTTTGGGGCCCACCAATTTTCTACCAAACTCAGTGTAAACCAGCATTTAAAGATTATTTGATACCCTGATCACGATCATTACATTTTTTTTTCTTGACAGGCGCCATTTGGCGCTAGAATAGTGCAGACGCCAATTTGAAATCACCACTGATTTCGCTAAAATTCAGATAATTTGAGCTATGGCGTCCATCACCGGTGTGACAGCCATCTTACAAGGCGCTCAGAGCGTGCCCACTTTTTCGGAACGGTTCTTTGCATTTTGTAGGGCCTTGCCCATGAACCATAAAAGTGGGCTTCATTTTCGCTGAGCGGCCCCTGGAATGCCAAAAAGGAGCGAAAAAGAAACCTATGGAAACTGGTTGTTTTTGAGCCTCTAGAGCCGCATAATTGAAACTGATCAGTTGCTGAGCGGACCTATAAAGGTACCATTGGAATCAAGGAGAAAAAATAGTCAAGTATGGGGTCTTACTTGTGGCACGTGATCAAGAATGAACGGCTTCATGGAATGGTTTCTTCAACGATCGGAGCAGTGGTGAGCAACAACGATCGGATGGCCTAGCGATGAATCAGAACGCTACAATAACCTTACTACACTATACTAGTGGATAGCATGGAGGATTCTCAAGCGGACACTAGTGGAAGGGCTGATGGTTCGACTCCCCTCGGCGTGCGAGTTTTTGCATTTTTTTACGTTTCGCTGTTTTCGCATTCGAACATACCTGTGCGTGAGTATAAGTTCGATAACTCCGAATCACGAATATGGAACTCAATTGTAGCTATGGTGCCATTTATCGCTAATATGGAGCCACATCTTTCTTCCTCAATTTATTGATAATCAAATATACAGGGTGACAAAAAAGTTCTGGCAATTTGCCGCTGGTGTTGCTGCGTTTTTGAGTCATTATGGTCTGTTTTCTCTCCGATAGGTTATTTGTATTCCGCAAGCCATTTCGAACTACCGTACGAGTCATCTATCCAATCACTTTCGATTTCTCCTCGCACTGTCTCGAAAAAATCAAAAAGTTGCAGTTGTTGAAACCCATCTTCTGGTCGGTGCTTGTTGCTTGAAGAATGTGCTCGCCACCGACGAGAAAAATTTTCGATCACAACTACCGGAATTGTTGTCTGCTCCTCAGAAAACGGTCAAAAGCAACGGCTGTGAAATCCGTCGGACGCAGACTCTTTCCAGCCTCAGTCACGGTCTGAGGCGGAGATCTGTGCCACCGGAAAGACCTCTCATTTCTTCATCGAGCGCATCGTAAAGATTAATGCTGTCTACTCCCAACAACGCGTTCTCCGCGATGTACTGAAGCCATGGGTGTCGTAGCACTTCGGCCCGGATGGACATGCTTCAGCAAGACTGGGAGCCAGCACATCCTGCCAAACCCACGAACTGCCGCTTGTGAAGAGCTGTTTCTTTCCCGATTTTTGGGCGGCAGGCACGTTTGGCAATCTCCCAACTAGCATGCGTCACGAAACCCTTTATGGATTATTCCTTCTGGGTCGAAAAATCTCAGGAATTCGGTGCGCAACGGTTTACCACCTGAAAGTGGCGTTGCTGCGTGTTTAGGACCAACTCAGCAAGTAAGAGAGCGGACACATCTGTCGGACAACTTGGAAAAACGACTACGTAAATGCGTCTGAGCTGGAATGCAGGCATTTTTGAACACTTGTTGGAACTTTGTTGTATACGGTCATTGGTACTGATTAGATGAAGACTCCCAGACGTTTAGTTGGCTGATTTCCTTTTTCGAACGGTATTTTTTATGCTACCGAAGTATTCCGAAAAATTGCCAGAACTTTTTGGTCACCCTGTAAAACTAACAGTATCGATGAAACTCATGCAAAAATGAAGGAAATGTAAGTAGTCGTCTAGACTGACTCGAAAAAAAAATATTGAGGAACTTGTATGAGTGCAATTTCTGTTTCTCAATTTCTGTAGGGGAGAACGATATCTTTATTGAGCGAGCAGGCGGTAGGGGTCGGAAAAGGCCCAGGATACTTTTTCACGAATGCCGTCCACCCACACTAATGCCAAGCATAAAAGGACCTTGGCGCACCCTTGCGACACGGCTGTCCTGCCCGGCGGCCTGCTACGTCGTCGTCACGTCATCATCTTTACGAAGATGTGAGACTCCGGTCACCACTGCCGACCAAATGGTCTACCGTAACCAGAAAAAATCGAAAAAATTTTTGGCTGTCCTTATTACGATTTTGGCACTTGTTTTGGGCGCTGACGCAATTTGGCGCCAGTATAGCGCTGAACGTCCCTTGTATGAGGGTACAAAAACGTACTTTTCACTCCTTTTTTGGCGTTCCTGGGGCCGCTCAGCGAAAATGAACCCCACTTCTGTGGTCTATGTGCAAGCCCCTACAAAATGCAAAAACCGTTTGAAAAAGCGGGGCACGCCCTGAACGACCTTTCTCGTTAGCGCTAGTAGCCGTAGAGCACTTTGATTTTGTGCCTTGCTGAGGATGAGCTTAGGGGAGGGAGAATTAATAGTTGGATAGTACCCGCCCCCAACTAGCCTTAAATGCAAAATGGTAACGAATTTGGCAGGAAGAGTCTAACATGGCGCTTGGAAAATTGACCGTGCTAATTCGGCGACGGCACTCTTGTGTATTCTAGTGGCGTCTTTGCCATAAACGGATGCCACATTCCTCATCAGAAAGGACATCGGGTAGCCCCAATATTCAGGTTTATGTTGATTTTGGTGACAAAGGTAGGGACGCCAAATTGGCACGGATGTCGTCGGCGCCCAAAACAAATGTTATCTCCGTGATGAGGGCACTAAACGACTCCCTCATTCAAAGCTTCGGCGAGACATTTTCAGATCACCGGTAGTAATATTAGAATGCGGCTATGTTTCCTATCTACAAGGAAGGTCGTGGAAAAATTTTCCAGATTTAAGCATTTAGAGATAAAGACTTTTGAAATTTCAAAGTTTCCATGTACTCTTCAAGGTGGAATACAACATGACACCACAAGCTCTTAATGTTTTACAGGCGTAACCTTCCTTACAGATGCTGGACATTCACTTTGGAGTTTTGTCCCCTCGATTAGTAATGAGTTCTCATCGTAATTTGGCTGTTTCAGCGAGTGCGATCTAAGCGGACGACTCCGACGAAACCCGCGGATAAAGACGGCCCTATGGATGCATTTGTGTTGCGACGCGGTGTTGCACGCGATCCAGTCGCTCGTCTGTCGTTATTGGGCGCAGGTCTAGAACCGATAGCGGACGAAGACCCGTGAGTTTGCTTTTGCCTTCAGAAAAGCATTGTAAAATGTCTGGTTCCATATAATTGCTAAGGTTTTTTTTCTTCTCAAAGGAAGAGAGGCTTTTTGGTTGCGGATGCTGGGCCGCGTTTAGAACTGAGTTTGGCATGGCGCTAGCCCGTTTTCCACCAATTGTTGTCGTTTGCCCTCTTCAACAATTGGTGGAGAGAACCATTCGCTCTGAGACGACCCAGCATCCGCAGCGAACAAGATTGTATTTCCTGAATATTAGGTTGTCCGGAAAGTTCTCAGCGTTTTGTATTACTATTTTCATGTCAAAAGAGCAGCTTCGGACGATATTTTTCTTCAACTACAAATTGGGTCAATCCGCAGTCGAGACAGCTCGACAAATTAACCAGGTGTGGGGGCCCAATAGTGTTGGAGAAAGCACCGTGCGACAATGGTTCGACAAATTTCGTTCTGGAGATTTCAGCCTTGAAGATGAACCTCGTAGCGGTCGACCTAAAGCAATACCTGACGAGGATTTGAAGGCGTTTGTGGAGGCTGACCCATCCCAAACAGTTCGAGAGATTGCAGAAAAGCTACGGCGTTGGCAAATCCCACTGTTGCGGATCGCGTCATGATCAACCATCCCCTCCCGTTCCTTCTCTCCTCCCACCTCCGCCCCCGCCGCCTGCACGTGACAAAACTTTGCACAAATGGAGAGTGTGCCCCACAACTTGACACCTCGGCAGTCTCAGCGTTTCTTCTCTCACTGCTTTGCTTTCCCTACAAGAAACCGTCCTTACCCAGTTGCTTTGCGTGAACCGAGATTGTCAGCCTCTGATGAATCGTAGACACCATCTACCGATATGCAGGTAATAGTTCCGAACAGTCGTTACGTATTGCGATGAACACGATCTCGGGCACCCTTGCCCAACAGCTGCAGTTCACGAAAAAACATATTATCTGGTCGATTGCTGTATCGTGATCGACTTTCCACTATAACTTTTTTGTCACCCAGGCCCGACCATTCACGCTGAATCCTTCTCGTCAAAAATACGACCGAAATGTAGCCGAAAAGTGTGAGCCGCGGCGCCCTTCTCCAATCCCTTTCTGCTCGGCCCCCCCAACCTACGTCAGCTGCAGGCCAGCCACTTGTCAAAGAAAGGGTCCGATCTTTTGCTCTGGAACGCCCGCCCACACTTGCTTCACAAACACTATCATAAAGTTGGCAACGAGCGTTGGCGGGCGCTTCAAGTGCCGCTACCTCACCGCCATAGTCTCCATGATCCTTGCTCCACCAACCGACTATCACCTTTCAACACATTTCAGAACTTCCTGCCCTGTCGAAATACTTGCCCATCTCAATCAGGAAGGCGCAAAAAAGCCTTCGTGGATTCTCGACCACCCAGTTTTTTTCTTTGATGGGATTCGACTGCTGTCACATTGGCAAAAGTGTGCTGATTCGAATGGTGCTTATTTCGATTAAATCCGATGAGTGTTAAGAAAGTTATGATCGTTTAAAGTGAAACACTCAAAACGCTGAGAACTTTCCGGACAACCTAATACATTGATCTTGCTTGAAGATGTCTAGGACTAAGCAATGCTCTCCTTGCAGACTGGTCACGGAAAACTCCCGTCGGTTTGATCGCCCGATTATACGACGGAAGGAAGAGTCAGCACCTAAGGAGGAAGCCGAGGAAAAGAATTCTGTTGTCGATGCGTGGTAAAACTTCTGAATGTGAATGTAGTGATCTTGCAATCAATTCAATTCCTGAATTGTTTAGTGATCTTCTCGGAGCGATTATTCCAGAACAAACGAAAACACTTGCGCCGGGAAGGCTATTTGCTGTCAGGGTGAGCTTCGTTTCTGAAAAATATACGTTTGGTCGCTCTTAAGAGAAAACTGAATTCAAGTTTACAGGGCGGTCGTTTCAATACTACTGAAGATTTTGAGAAGTATAAAGCAAGAACAACAAATCATATGTCATTGGAACTCAAGGAGCGTCTTGGGGTTGGTGCTTTGATCTAATTACGTTTTCTACTGGTGTTCTTAATGCCCCGAGTTTTTTAGATCCCCGTTGAAAAGCCCGCTTCCGAAGAAGAGCCATCAAAACGTAAAGTAATCGCTGAAACTCAGGAGGTGAAAAACGACGTTGATAAAATGGAACGACATGCGCCAAATGACAATTTTGAGCCCCCATCGCTCTTCAAGAAACCAGAGCTGGAGCATTCCATACGGCATCGAGAAAGTTGTAGAAAAGAGGCCAGTGGTGCTAGTCATGTACGGCAGGGTGACAAAAGTGTAGAAGGACGATTTCAGCCCTCTAGTCAGGAACGACAGCATTTTAAACGAAGCACTGATGAGAGAGCATCTTCTAGTTACCGGCGGTATGAAGAGGCACGAGTTGCTCAAGGTCGTAAGCCTGAAGAGCGATATCGTTCGCATCTTCAAAAGCCCAACCAATCTGTCAATAAAAGCTGTGATGAAAAACTATCAGCAGCTAAGGGCGGGCACGATGTTGACCGTGACCACGCTACATACATGAGGCTTATGAACATTGGAAGATCATCTCATCTGATGTCCAATCAACGTGATATGCTGGGACCTGATGAAATAAGGTCAGCAACACGCAATCACGGACATATTGAGAATAGTCGCCCAGTATCGTCAGATGAAAGAGCAGTAGGATCATCTGTCGAGCGACCACATCGGAATGAAAAGCAGAGTTCTAATGAAAAGGTCTCAGCTGGCTTCTATAATCATAAAGACAAGGTTGATCAGGTACTGCAGAGCAACAAGAACGTTGAAGAACTTCATGCGTCATCTACCTTCAAGTCAAGTCCACCTGATAAGCAAAACCTTGATGGAAAAGCACCAATGTCGTCACGTTATGAAAGGCATAGCCGTTACGATGACGAGCATCAGCGACATGATCGAAATGGAAATGAAGCAGGAAGTAATGATAATGACAAAAGACCATATCTCACGGATAGAAAGTATCATCCCAATCATTTACCAAAAACCAGCGAGTCGATAACGAGCACGAACACTAATTCTGAGCGAAGACTGAGATTCGAGGAGTCTGAGAG